TCCACAAATCCACCCTGTACACACACATCCCAACAGCCCCCCCCCCCACGCTCCCACATGCTCCCCTGCTCGTGAAGCATGCGCTCAGCCCTGCGCCCCCTTTTCAGATGCCATCATCACAGAGGGCGGGGAGAACTTCAGCCAGGGCCAGAGGCAGCTGTTCTGTCTGGCACGGGCCTTTGTGAGGAAAACCAGCATCTTCATCATGGACGAAGCCACAGCTTCCATCGACATGGCTACGGTGGGTCCTGGGCATCTCCGCAGAGTGGTTTTAGTGGAGTGTAGGGAGCCATTCACACAAAGTGGTCCTGAGGGTGTCTTTAGCCTCAGGGCTGGGCTGGGGAACCGCAGCTCCATCTGGTCCTAGGAAATAGTCCCACTTCACTCCATCCACCGTGCAGACCCAGCTCCGGTGCAAACACAGAGCCGTGCCCCTGGCAGGCTGGGTCCAGTCCTGCAACGCTCTTCATAGGCCCTCCAGGACCAGGGCCAGAGAGAAGTGAGGGTGGGGCTCAGATTGGAGTCAGATGGGAGCTGGGCCACAATCCTGGGCCCTCGGTCCCCAGAACCAGGCCAGACCCCATCCACTAAGCGAGTGAGCCGACAGCTGCTGCCTTCACCTGACAGGAAAACATCCTCCAGAAGGTGGTGATGACGGCCTTCGCGGACCGCACTGTGGTCACCATTGCAGTAAGTGGCACACTATGGGCTGCAGGGATCACCCAGAGAGGGGGCCTGGGGCTTTCAGCAAGAGAGGACCTCTGGGAAGGAGTCTGCAGGGCTCGCCCAGGGTGAGACTGTCAAACTGACCCTCTTGTCCTCCAGTACCAAGGTCAGCCCATCCCAAGGCTCTGTCAGCTAGGCTGGGTACCTGGGGACAGTGGTTTCTGAGTCTTGAAGTCTGGCAGTGGGCAGAGCTGGGACCTGGTGGAGGCAGAAGGGTGTCTCAGTGCATGAGGCCTTGGCTCCTATCCACCCCAGGCAGTCACCCCGGAGGTGAGATGCCAGCCTCGGCTGCCTGGTCCCTCCCTGCCCACCCTGACCAGCCCCTCCTGCCCCCAGCATCGTGTGCACACCATCCTCAGCGCAGACCTGGTGATGGTCCTGAAGCGGGGCGCCATCCTGGAGTTCGACAAGCCAGAGAACCTGCTCAGCCGGAAGGACAGTGTCTTTGCCTCTTTTGTCCGAGCAGACAAGTGACCTGCCAGCGCCCAAGTGCCATTTTACCCCACCCTGCCTCTGCCTCACCTGGTTTTTCTAACTGTAAATCACCTGTAAATAAAGAGGTTGATTATTTCCTATGAGAAGGCCTGACTTCATCTGTGGGGCTGCAGCAGCTTGGGGGTGCAAGGAGCCAATACCGGAAAGATGCCACTGAGCACAGGCCAAAGTGCATGTCCTTGTCTGCAAAATGAGGGCTGTGTAGGCAGCTCAGGCTGTCACCACAGAGTAACACAGAGCCTTATTTCTCACAGTTCTGGAGGCTGAAGTCCGAGGTCAAAGCATTGGCCAATTTGGCTGTTCCTGAGCCACCTTCTCAGTTGTCCTTCTGTGACCTTTCCTCCGTGTTCTGATATTCATTCATGTTCTTTCCCCCTCTTTCATCCCCCTTCCCTGTCTCCTCCTTCTTTCTTCCCTCCCTGTAACCTTGATGATCTTTAATTACCTCCTCATGGGCTCTGCTCTAAATAGGTCACACCAAAGCCTAAATCTTCAACCTGTAAATTTGGGGGCTATAATTCAGCCCACAGCAAGGCTGATAGCATTTCTGTGGTTAAAGTAGCAGACATCCACCCAACTTAGTCCCTCCTCTTCTCACTGCAGCTCTTGAACTAAAATTGTGAAGCCCAGTAACCTGGATCAGCACTGTTACTATTGTGAATGACAGGAACCCAGCTCAAAGGAACTGCATTTACGGTGTTGTATGATAGGAAAGGCCAGGGGGTGTACTATTTCAATCACTGGTGACTTCAGTGTTTGACATCAGGGATGTGTCTCCATTTCTGGGTTCCATCTCCCTCTGTCTTCTTGATGACAGATGGATACTTAGCACCAGCTTACATCCTGCCCCAGGGCAGCCAGTGGGGAAAAGAGCTATTTCCCAGTGGTTCCAACAGTTTTGTTTTTTTTTTTTTTTTTTTAATTGGCTACACAGTTCAGACTCATAGTGATCCTCCTGTCCCAGCCTCTCCAGTGCTGGGATTTCAGGCATGCATGACCACACCCTGTTTTGGAGCCATATGGCAGGCTGTACAAGGGCTGGAACTCAGGTTCTTGTACTTGCCAGGAAGGTGCTTAGATGGCTGAGCTGTCTCCCTAGCCCTCCAACAAACAAAAATTTTAAAAGTGAATGTTAATGGGCCAACTTGGTCACATCCCTGCTTACACCCAATCACGGTGGCCAGAGGGCTGGAATATACTGACTAGGCCTAGATCTTAAGTGCCCTCTCTATCCCCAAGCAGGGGCATTCAGAAGTAGGAGAAAGGCAGTTATTTATTTATTTATTTATTTATTTATTTCTATTGCGGCACTGGGGATTGAACTCAGGACCTTGCACTTGCCAGGCAAGCTATTCTACTGAGCTATCTCTCTGGTCTCTATGGCAGTCCTTCAAAAGGAAGAACAGTGTAGCTAAGAGTCAGCCACATGGTGGGGAGATGCCTGGCACAAATTTAGGGGAGATCAGAACAATAGCTTGTCCTGACTCCATCTGTGTCAACAAGCAGGAGTGTCCCCTGCTCCCAGCCAGGAAATGACAGGTGCTTATTTGCATCTCATTATCCTTTATCTACTGCCTGCAGTACTGGCTTACCAGGCTCTGGGCTGCAGACCTAGGGGTCTTAGGCCTGCATTCCTCTTGGCTGAAAGAGGGTCCAAGCCACACAACATAAGGAAGGCCCAGCAGTCATGGAGGAGACCCTTCTGCTGTGCCAGAGAGCTCAGGAAGGGAGAACTCTGTGAAGCCTGGCTGGCTGCCTAGCCAAGGCCAGGTTTGAGTTTGGCACAGGAGAGGTAAAAACTGGACAGGCAGAGGGCTTGAGAGGAGGGCAAGGGTGGGCCGCAGGAGCTAAGGAGTAAGGCTGGAAGTGAGTTAAGTGTGGTGGCTGGTCAGAGAGGCAGTGTAGGGGTGGGGTTGAGGGCAGCAGAAAGGAACTGAGATGAGAGAGCCTTGGATGCCAGTACAAGAAGCACGGGACAGGTTTGTGGACAAAAAGGAAAGATAGCTGACAAGGGCAGTGCTTGTGGGAGATGCAAAGAGCCAGGCAGATGGAGCAGAGCAGGAGGTTAGCACCTCAGGCAGGAAGGGTGGAGCTGGAGGAGCTGAGCCTTGGGGCCATACCCAGAGGCAGGTCCTGGCCTTTCCAGCTCTGGGATGCCTGGGCCCACAGCTCCCTCCACACTGGGGTCTCCCAGGAGTGAAGCCCTAAGTCATAGGAAACTAGCTTGTTTGTTTGTTTGTTTTTATACTAGGATTCAAAATCAGGACCTTGCACTTGCCAGGCAGGAGCTGTGCCACTGAGCTATATCCCTGGCCCTTCAGTTTAGAACTGACCCTTGTATATGTAAAATCAAAGTCCACCTCTGTTCTGCTCAGTATCCAGTTATTCCCTTTGCACAATGCAAGACTACAGGCCCATCCTCCTGTAACTCCCAGGTTTCTGAGAAAGTGCCCAGCAGCACCCCCTGCCAGCTTCCCTTTCTAATGGCTAAAAAGCTATACAGCAGTTGCCTCCAAGGTACTGCTGTCTCCTGAGTTTCTCATTCTGCTCACCTTGTTTTCCGCCCCTGCCCTAGCACTGCCCCTCTGGGAATACAGCCCAGGATCACACCCTTTGCAGCAGAATTCATTCAGCCTACAGATGGGTAGGGGAGAGAAAGAGGAAAACTCAATATAGAAGTCCCACACGCCCCAACGCAGCCTGCAACCCCAAGGCGCTGTCCTTTCAGACCCTGCCTGACACTGGACTCCAACAGACCTTCACGTATGCTTTGTTCCAACAACACAGCATGCAGGGTGAACCTAGGCTGATGGCTGCCATAGAAACATCACCCTGGCCTGACCAGGAGCCTGGATGCCCCAGTGTCCAAGCTGGGTTTAAAGCAGCCACTAGGCTGAACATGTCCACTCCCTAAGCTGGAAGAATTCAGGCCACAGCTGTGAGAGGTTTTGTAAACCAAGCACCTGAGGCCCAACTGTCTTTATGAAGCAGAGTGGAGCTGCACTTCTCAGAACTAAGAGGGTGGAGCACCAGGCCCCTGGGCTCCTACACTTGCTAAAGTACTATTTTGATTGTGTATTGTTTTATTGGGGAGAGATTTCTTCATCAGATTCTCAAGGATTCAAGACTAATCCTATCTCCCAAAGAGGCGGTCAGTTGAGAAGTCCTGGGCCCCATGGATGGTGGCAACACCTCTCCGTGTCTCCTGTTCCTGGGAATCCAACTGTGGATGGGAACAAGAGGACAGGGAAGCCAGGGTGACCGCGGCTGCTGTCTCAGGGTGAGAGGACGGGTCACTTCTCCCTTCTCGAAGCCAGGTTCACAGATCTGGCGGGAGGAAACAAATCCCGAAGGCCCGATTGAGTTTGGGAAGAGGGCGGGGTGTGGGCGGGGCCTGCGCCGGTGCCCGCCCTTCTCCTGCTCGCGATCAGGTCGGGCTCCCCCTGGCGGCGCCAAGTCCCCACCACGCTCCTCGGGCGCCCCCAACCCTTGATCTCCTGCCCCCGCAGCGCACAGGTCTCTGTCGGCGGACCCACAGACTGACTGACCGCCGGGGGAAACCCGCCGGCCGCGAGCTCTGGAGCGCGGGAGGGGGCGGGGTGGCGACGGCTGCGGCTTGAGGAGCAGGAGCAGGTGCCGCGGCGGCGAGCGGGCGGGGCG